AATATTAAATATATTATACCGTATATAATTAGTTTAACATAAAACACACAATTTATTAGATAAAAACTCGTCCAGAATTAGAGGAATTGGTCAATACATACAAACCGGATCTGATTTGGTCTGATGGCGGTGGTGGTGCTCATCCCGAATACTGGGAAGCTCAAAAGTTTTTTGCCTGGCTATACAACGATAGGTAATTTTCAAATCGTTTATGAAATTTAATGCAAAACTCATTTATAAAATTATTTCTAACAGTCCCGTAAAGGATACCATTGTTGTCAACGATAGATGGGGTAAATTAAATCAATCAAATTCATTTACTTTAAAGCAAAACTCATAATACCGAGACTTTTTTGTAAAGGGTCGGGAACTGGTGGAAAGCATGGTGATTTCTTCAACTATGCCGACAGGTATAACCCGGGAGTACTACAGAAACACAAGTGGGAGAACGCCATGACTATAGACAAGCATTCGTGGGGTTATAGACGTAATGCCAAATCAACCGACTATTTGTCTACACATGATTTGCTCCTAACATTGGCTCAGACTATCAGGTATTCATAAAATATTATATATTAAAATGTTTTTTTATTAAACACATAATTTTATATTTTGTGCTATAAATCAGTTGCGGTGGAAATATCCTGATAAACGTCGGGCCGACACACGACGGCGTTATTAAACCGGTATTTGAGGACAGATTACGGGATTTGGGGCACTGGCTGTCTGTCAATGGGGAGGCCATCTATGAAAGCAAACCCTGGAAACACCAAAACGATACGACAACTAAAGAAGTTTGGTATGTATTGACACAAATAGACATTAATTACATGATTGTAATCATTGATTTGGTGGACAGGTATACACAGAAAGACAAAACTGTTTACTCAATAGTGTTGTATTGGCCTAAAGGTCATGAACTGACTCTGGGATCACTCGATCACTCGACTGTCGGTGCCGTCGAGCTATTGGGAGAAAAGGGTGAATTGAAATTCACTGCCGGCTCCGGTACCTCAACAGTCATTACGTTTCCACACATTACTCCGGATAGCGTTGCCAAATGGGCCTGGGTGCTCAAAATAACAACAAAATAAAACATTATTAATAATCTAATCAATGTACTTTGTTGAATTATGTATTGTATTGTAAATTTACTCTCAAATTGAATTAGAATTATAAAAAATGAAATGTTTATAACATTAAATAAAACAACACTATGATATTATTATAGAATAAAATCTTTAATTTTTTATAAAGCAACTTGTTCATTTTAAATTAGAATTATAAATACTGTATTAAATAGGATTTTAATGATAGGAATGTGAAAGTTTGTGTTGTCTCACATTAACAGCTATATTAACACATGTGATCATTATTATATAATCTAGCAAATTGTGTCATATAATAGATATAAATAAATCTTACCCTTTGAACCATGTACTGTAGTTACTTAAGTACTAATGCCATGTACCTGATGCATAGACAATAAATAAAGCATATTTGATAAGATTTATAATATAAGTTTGGTAATTTTTGTGGCGCATGTGAAATTTTAAAAATAAGTGAATTTTTAAAAATATTATAATATTCATTTATTTTGTATTTTATAAATATATTTTATCATGTAAAAATAAGCGAAAATAAAAATTTCATTTTTTGATAGAATTTGATAGTATACTAATTAGCTGTTTAATTTAGCTTAATATTAACTTAATCTAAAACTAATCATAAATAAAATATTTAATTTAAACATCAATTTTTAAAAAATGCATGAACATCATTTTTCACACAAATTATTCATAAACAAGTGATTTGTGTATAATTAATATTAATTTATTACTACTCATATTTACTTAAATAACGTAAAATGATTATTATTACTATTAAACAAAAGAACCACTAGTTTTTATAAAACTAAAATAACAAATTATTTAATAATTTTCCCAATAGTTTGCTTATTCATATAAAATATAAAGTAAATGTGTTCACAAAAAACAAACAAAAATGAAGATTAACTAGACTGATTGATTTTTAAAGCACTTTCGCCTGATAACTTATGAGTGATAACATGGGTTTGCTTACATTTACTACTTTCTTAAAAAACTTATAAATAAATCACATTTTTCATAGAAAAATAAATGCATTTTTCTATAAAAACACCAAGCAACACTTGAATTAATTTAGGACACAATTAGGTCTCATAGAAGGCATGACATTATTCTCACCATTCATTTGTTTACTATTAGCATACGTTGCGGTAGACTCTCACCTAACGGTGCAAAAGTATACCCCGGACTGGGAGTCGCTCGACAAGAGACCATTGCCCACATGGTATGACCAGGATCACTCGACTGTCGGTGCCGTCGAGTTATTGGGAGAAAAGGGTGAATTGAAATTCACTGCCGGCTCCGGTACCTCAACAGTCATTACGTTCCCACACATTACTCCCGATAGCGTTGCCAAATGGGCCTGGGTGCTCAAAATAACAACAAAATAGAACATTATTAATAATTTAATAATTTAATTAAAATTAGACTTTTATTTTATAAAAATAATAAGTTATATAAAGTAGCAAGTAATCATGAGATTAATTTAGTCAAACTATCACTGATAATAATTATTTGAATAGAAAATTATTTGCTTTTATTATAAAACTCGAGTGCAACCATACCTAAATTATAATCAATAAATACATAAGTATTTATTTGTATTTTACAACATATTTTATTCAACTAGCATAAGTCTAAAATTAATAGTTTATGTTTAAAATCTTTTTCTTATCTAATCATATATTATTATTTAATGTATAAACATATCAATAATAAAACACAGTATTACAATAGACAACAAGTGTTTTTGAAGATTTTATTATTATTTAATCGACAAAATATTAAATCTATTTCACATGGGTACATATCTTACGGACACTCAATTTCCTATTAATTAAATTAATCCCAATTTTTATTTGTATATAAATAAAGGAAATATTATTTGAAAGTAACTTTTGTCATTAAAGTGTCTGCGAAAATGCTTTCATATAAACTAATATTATATTTATTTCCACTATTTTTAAGCCTTATATATGGCTTCAGTGGTGAGGAGGCGCCCAAATATACACCGGACTGGAAGTCACTGGACTCTCGTCCATTGCCCGCATGGTATGACCAAGCTAAGTTTGGCATTATGATGCATTGGGGCGTATATTCTGTACTCGGAATGGGAGGCGATAGGCGCCCAAATATACACCGGACTGGAAGTCACTGGACTCTCGTCCATTGCCCGCATGGTATGACCAAGCTAAGTTTGGCATTATGATGCATTGGGGCGTATATTCTGTACTCGGAATGGGAGGCGAGTGGATTTGGTTTGTGATTATTAAACTTTAAAAAATTTAAAACATAGAAAACATTTATTAATTTATAGGTACCGATGGAAAGTTGCAAAACAATTTCAGGACTATTTTGGTAAATATGAAAAACCGGGGATCACTTACCAGGACTTTGCCAATAGGTTTACCACTGAATTCTTTGACCCAAATAAATGGGCCGAAATTCTTAAGTATTACTCATTAAATGAAATCTTCAGTAAACTTATGAATTAAACGATTGTAATGAATGGATAGGGCATCGGGTGCTAAGTATTTCGTGTTAACCACTAAACATCACGAGGGCTTCACAATGTGGCCATCAAACTACTCGTGGGGCTGGAATGCTATGGATCTCGGATCACACCGGGATTTAGTAGGTATGACCTGGTGGTTGGCAATTATTTAAATACATTTTTAATATTTAACCGCACAACTAATTATTTAACATTTGAGGTGAACTATCAACGGCTGTCCGAAAACAGGGTCTCCGGTTCGGTACATATCACTCACTCGGCGAATGGTTTCATCCCTTATATCTCAAAGACAAGGGAAACAAATGGCAAACCAATGAGTTTGTGAGAGTAGGTGTTCAATATTCATACAATGAATGTTAATAAATACTTATTTCTTAACTAATTATTGAATAAACATTAATTGTTTACAGAATAAGATCAGTCCAGAAATGGTAGAACTCGTGAATCTATATAAACCGGACCTAATCTGGTCTGACGGTGCCTTTGATGGCGCACCCGATAGCTACTGGAATAGCACTGAATTTTTGGCCTGGCTATATAACGATAGGTACTGTTGCTTAAGTTATTTGTATATTTAACAGACAATTAACTATCTATTTATTTATATTTATAGTCCAGTAAAGGATGAGGTGATAGTGAATGACAGATGGGGTAATGGTTTACTGTACCCACGAATAACTGTATGAGTAATTTAAATGATTTCATTTTATCACTCATATGTTAGGCAGTGATACAGCATGTAAGCATGGTGGTTTTTATAACTGTAAAGACCGGTTCCTTCCAGATGTGGTTCAGCCCCACAAATGGGAAAACGCACTGTCCGTAGATCACGGGGGATGGAGTTATACCAAGATGTTTGGGTACAAAGATTATATGACCACATATGAGCTCATCTCACAAATGGCACAAACCATTAGGTAATAAACTATTATATAATATGCAAAGTATGAGTGATTTTATTATATATGGTTTAAATGAATCAGTTGTGGCGGAAATATACTGATAAACATCTGTCCGACACCTGACGGAAGGATAATACCTTTGTTTGAAGAAATGTTGCGAGAAATCGGTTCATGGCTTTCTGTTAATGGAGAAGCGATTTATGAATCAAATCCGTGGACTCATCAAAACGATACCATCACTGAGAAAGTCTGGTAAATATTGCATTTAATTATGATTTTTATGTTTTATTAAATTATTTATTTAATGATAATTTCTTTAAAAGGTATACAAAGAAAGACAAAACTGTTTACTCGATTGTATTGTTTTGGCCCAAGAATTATGAGCTAGAGTTGGGATCCGTTGACTTTAAAACTGTTCAGTCGATACAACTTTTGGGAGCGACCGGTGATTTGAAATTCAAGTCCGGGACTGACGGCGAGACTATAGTCACCTTTCCTTTCGTAAACCCTGAAACTTTACGATTTGCTTATGTACTCAAAATCAATTTTAAATAAGACATAAACCTCTGCAATATAATTTCATTTTCAAGAATATTGTATTAAATTATTATTTTGTATTTACAGGATAAATAAAAATTGTTGAGATTATTTTATAAATTATGCTTTAAATAGTTTTAAAATGAGAATAAATTAAAATATGTGTCAACTTAATTAGACTTAATTTTACTAACTTTAGACTCTAAAGTTTAGAGTATAATTATAAGTAATGGGAATAAAATGCTTCTAATAATGATCATGTTCATTTGAGGGCTTTCTAATAAAACAAGTATATGAATACGGTATATAATATGCAAATGTATACTGAACAAATTATCACATCAAATAATACCACAAAAGTGAATGCATTTAATAGTATTAATATACTCTTTTGTATCTAATTATTTTAGATTTAATATATTTTCAATTTCATTAAAGTAATAAATTAAAGATTAAGCAAAAGGTATTAATACCTGTAATGTAATATATATTATACTTAAAAATCTTATACTACTTATATACTTAAGTTAAGATTAATTGATAAAAATTATCTAATAATTAGCAACGTTTTCAACTGCTCAAATAATTCCCATAAACTGAACTCTAGAAAACTTTTTTTGATAGTTTTGTTTTTCAAATATTACTAAACATTATATTAACTGATAGTAGACTGCACTAACAAGTAAACAACAGCGAATATCCAAAATGTTTTTATCAAATTGTTAAAAGGTGATTTGTATCTGTATCTATTTTAACACACATTTATGCAATATTTCACAAAATATAATTCTATAAACTGTACTAACAATCCAAATGCTCTTTATGTTTATATTGATTATATTCTTATTGAAAATTGCTTGATACCATTGTTCATTAATTAATTGTTATGGACATTAGACATAATCTAAATGTGAACTATAATTTACAAAAATATACATCTAAGAGGTATGCCATTTACAAAGATCAATAAACACTGGGACACCCTTATAATGCTGATAACCAAAATATAACAGAATAACTATAAAAGTAACTGTAAATTCTGAGCTGCTTTTGATTTGAAGTTAAGTGCAAATTCAGTCATGACTTCAATAACTCGATTGATTTGTCTGTTTTCACTACTAGTGGTCCACGTATTGAGTGCACCCAATGCTACGAAACCCGGTGCCCGATATGACCCCACGTGGGCCTCCATAGACAAGCGTCCCATTCCGGGCTGGTATGACGAGGCAAAAGTCGGTATTTTCATACATTGGGGTCTTTTCTCTGTGCCCTCCTTTGGGGACGAGTGGTTTTGGTCTGTATTTTAAATCTAATTACGAATTTCAGTGTTTAAAAAATGTATATATATTTTGAAGGGAGCGTTGGAAAACTGAAAAAAGGAAGGACTTTGAAGATTTTATGAGCAAAAACTACCCTGCCAACTTTAAGTATGAGGACTTTGCCCCTCTGTTTACGGCTGAATTCTTTGAACCAAACCATTGGGCGGATGTCTTCAAGTAATTGCAACTTTTTGTTCATTATGTAGACAAATAACATTTGACATATTGAAGGGCATCGGGTGCTAAATATGTGGTGATGA